AATTAAAGTAAATAAAAAAACACATACTTAATAACTTAATGTTTAAGAATACTTTTTTTTATAATTAAATGGATTTTAAATATGTTATTATGAAATAGATAATAGTTCATTCAAAAGCATGAAGCATCATTACTGATTTATTGACATCTAACTTTTAGTAGAAGATAATAAACAAACTGTTTTTCTAGCATAACTGTCAGAAAACAGATATAAAGTCATTAATTATCATTTCATTGTGAGCTGAATTAAAATTCGTGTGTTGTGACCGACCCTATCATTATTCATCGATCGGTTGATAACTTTATTCATCTGCAGGCATAAAAATTGTGCTATCCATCTTGTCAGGGTTGACGCAACTCTATTCCACCCCTGGGTCTCATCCATCCCGACTTGGAGTTCCTGTGAAATTAGGTCAGGAATCATTAATTATATGAATTAAGACTTCATTAGCTTACCGCGAGGGAAGGTTAAATATAGGTTCCTTTTATTTCAGATGTTAATTACGGAAGTGATTGAAACAGGGTATATATAGCTAATTTGATGAAAAATGAAAATCCTTGTATTAATATAATTTTTGACAGCATTCTTTGTGTTTCTATCAGATGCCATGATAGATAATGACTAATGATTAAGAATACAACGAACGTCAGCTGAATACAGAAATATAACGTATATAATACAATTCTCTTAATAACTAACTAACAAAGGGTCAGTCAGCGGATCACCGATTTCAACCATTTTTTTTTTCGGTTATATTACGTCGAAAAATATTGGACATATATCTCGGTGTTCGTTCAAATGGGCTCTACCCCAGAAAAACAATTATTTAGTTTAAAACAAAATTTAATTTATTTATTTCTGCCATTGCTTTGCCGGATTTTTAGGTTACAATATATCAATGGGTTTCTTTTATGTGGAAAAAAATATATTGATTATTATATTAAATAAGTTATAATGCATCATAAATTCAAAAAAACAAATGGCGCTTCCAGTAAAACAAGCCAATCAAATTTTCGTTATGAAAATACCAGCTTATAGCTGCAGTCTTTTATAGCTCTTAAATAGGAATTCTTATTTAAATAAAGTAATCTGGTGCACCCATCACACAACTTTCACTTACCGCTCTATTTCGAAAAGCAATTCTTGTCTGGCATAATTGGGCTAGTCCACGAAGTTTTTAAGTCCATTTTTAAAGCAACTAAACTTAAACAACATGTTTTTGAATTCCGGTAATATCCATCAATACAAAAATTCATTAAGACCGTCACAATAACATAGAACCTATTTATAATATTGTAGCCTGTAAAAACCATATATATAACTACATCAGTATATTTGAATAACATAACTACAGACTCTGAGCGCTATAGACTAAAAGAGATTTGAAAGTATATAATCAATCATGAATAAGTAAAGTATAATATTATAGTATAAGGTACTAATTATAATATAATATATATAATATAATATAATATATTATAATTATACTATATATTATACTAATATAATACATTAAAATTACAGTTTTTACATGTATTTAAATTATTATTTTTTACCCTTGGAAAACATACCAAAGTATAGTTACTTGCTTTTGAATGTAGCATCCATAGGTCAAAAGTCATTACATTAATTGTAAAAATGAGATTTCACAAAGGAAATTTTTTGGAGTAAATGTATACCTAACTATTTAAACATAATATCGGATCTAGAGTTATTAAACTACAGTAAATGTATCTAAGGTTATAAGCATATGTTTTACTCATCCATGAAATATTATTATATTTCCCTTCTTCTTTCATACGAGTACAACGAATAGTTTTTAAAACAATTTCATTAGCTTGTTTTTGTGAATTAATTTTTTTTTAACTGAAAAAGTTTTAAAATTTTATATTTAATAAGTATATTTCATTTAATTTTCTTGGAAATATGTGATTTCCGTTAAATGATATTATTTTTCACAAATTATTATTTATAATTTTTCCTCACTATCCATTACCTTCTACGACTTTCTATATGAGATATTGTTTTTTTCTAAAATTCCAACGATATATTATACATATACCTTCAGACTAGTATTTCCGGAGATTCATTTTCGACCTAAATAAACATTTTTCCTTTTATCTTCATTTTGCAATTATCAAAGTCTTTCATACTTTATATTTAGCTATTTTTTATAGTTACTGCCAATAAGAGTTATTTTTAAAAAATATACTAAATTAAAGATACTTCATGTGAACATTGGACATTTAAGACCCGTAAGGTGACATCAATGCGGATAAGACAGCTGAAATAAAAACCAACTTAATAATGCATTGATATAGCGAGGTTAATAAAAATCGTTAAAGCCGTTTTTGAGAAAATTGTAAAAACGTGTTACATCGAATATAAAAGTGTCATTTCCGGTTTGTCGATTTTGACAAAATGTTGTTGTAGCATTCCAGAAATATACAAAACATAAATACTCAATATCAGTTTCGTATGACTTTTTATTTTTGAGTTGCGCTGTTCACACACTCAGACCATTTTGCGAGACTTGGTTATTTGGACTCAGAGAACCTCAAAACGAGTATTTCCGTTGAAAACTCTAATTCAAAAATTTTCACGATCGCAATTCTTTCTCTTACTATACAGAGTGTTTCTGACTTGGTCGTCAAACTGCAACATTGAACTAAGGACCTCAAAACAAGAAAAAGGTTTCCTCTGAATGTATGTCCGCAAACACTTTGTTTAGGAGATACTCACACCTAAAGATTTTCGTTCTTATCGCAATTTCGTTATTAAAATTATTAAAATATTATTGAAATAAATAAAACCTATTTATTTGTTCTAACTAGTATATTAATTAAATGTATACCTTAACATTCATATTAAATGTTGTTAAAAGTGACGGTTTGTCTGCAAACGCTTTATTTAGAAAATGGATTAGATAGAATACTAATAGGGCCTTTTATCCCTAACTGTATAAATACTATTGTCAACATCAGGATTAATACTATTTGGAACTCTTAGCATTGGGAAATCTCAATAAAATTTATCAAGAGGCTTTCGCAGAGTACTCATCATTATGCCTTTCATTTATATCAATGATGAATATGCTGACACGGTGTTTGTATACGGTTTTTGCAATGGTAATGCTAATGCTCCCAGTGAATATGGCAGGCGATTTCCGAATAGAAGATTACCAAACAAGTCTATCTTTAGCTGCACGTTTCAACGTATTAGAGAAACTGGTACATTTGCTATAATACCACTTGATAGTATTTTTGTCCTTTTGTGAAATGAAGGAGTGCAACCGTATTACAATATTTTGATGCTAATCCATCTGGCAGTGTACGAAGAGCTGGATCATAATTAAATATTACGCCAACTACAGTATGGAGAACTATCATTGCAGATGGACTTCACCCATATCATTATCAACGGATACAAAATTTACTACCGATAAGAAGAAAATTTTCATGTTGGTACTTAAATCAAATTGACCATAATCCACAATTTTCAGGAAAAATTCTATGGACAGATGAAGCTACCTTTACAAGAAGAGGTATCTTAAATCAGAAATATTAACATTTCTGGTCGCAGGAAAATCCCTATGCGATTCGTGATCATCATTTTCAGCACCAGTTTCAGCGCAATGTGTGGTTGGGGATAATAGTCAATATTTTAATAGGTCTGCATTTCTTCTCCCTCTACTCATTGCGGGCACATTTCTGGAATTTCATAATAAAGATTACTATGATTTAATTGAACATACTCCACTACAACTGAGAAGGGACAAGTGGCTTCAATTAGATGGTTGTCCTGCACATTACGGAAGAGGTCCACGACAACGGATAAATGTTAATTGTCTCTATCAACGGATTGGCCGTGCAGGACCAATGGCTTGGCCTGCACGCTCACCAGACCTGTCACCACTGGATTTTTTTTTTGGGATGACATTAAATAAAAGTCTACGCAATGACGGTCAATGGCCTTAATTCCTTACGAAGAAGGATAATTGAATCTTGTGAAACAATAACACATACCCAGTGCCGTTCGGCCACTGCTGCTGTTGAAGAAAGATGCCAAGCATGTCTTAATGCTCAAGGAAATCACTTTGAACAGCATTTAATATGAATTTAATGGTTACGTTTAATTAATAAAGTAGTTGGAACAAATGAATAAGTGAACAAATGAATTTACTTAATATAACGTAAATAATTCATAACAATGAAAATCTTTATGTGTGAATATCTCCTAAACAAAGTGTTCGCGGACATACCTTCATAGGATTTTTTTTCTTGTTTTGATTAACTCATATTTTCAGTTTGACCAATTAACCCTGAAACCCCCTGTGTGTAAGTAAAGGTGAGTGAAAGTAAAAATACTACCACTAGTACTTGATTTTCTTGGATGGGTTTTTTCCCGGCCGACAACGAAAACATTCATAACTTCTTAGGATTTTCTTCAAATTTAAATTTAATATAACCTTTGGAATGTGGAAAAAATTGGAACAATGCTCTTCAAGGAGTTAGTTAATGTAAGAGGTGCCACATTTTAAGTCCATTCACTTGATTTACAGACAAACCTTGCGTGTATATTAATGTTGGATTTATGAGATTCAGAAAGAGTCTGATAAACCAGGGTTCTTTTTCTTCGTAAATGATTTTCGTGAAAACAAAATTTATCCTGCTAACGTAGTATTATACGTATTCGGTCAACATAGGAAGTTACCATAATTACTCTATGAACCTATTTTAATTTTTTTTAGTAAAAAAAGTGAATCTAATCTATAATCCATAGATGGAATGAATGTGAATAAAATACAACCATTTTAATTAATGGGGAATGTTTTTTTTCTATTTTTCAAAACTTATTTGAAATAAATAGTATTTGTCAATTAAAAATTAAAATATTTAAATGATTCTTTAAAAATTAAGAAATTCATACTTATTTATAATAATCTTAAATAATGTTTAGTTAGATGTAAGGATGATGAACGCTTACTTACCAAAGAGTACCTGGGCTCGTTCTGGTAGATGGTCCCGACCCTGGTCCAGTTGAAGTGCTGCATCAGCTTCAGCCTCGGTGCGTTGAAGGCGTTTTCGCTGGGCACCACACGGTAGAAGTTGGGGAAGTTGTCTGATGTGAACATGGGGTGGGTGTCTGCGTACGAAAGCTGAAACATGATAATGGCTCGAGTTACTGGTGATTTATCATAAAAAAAAAAATCTGGAATGTTTCACTTGTCATATAGAGGACGGGGTTGCCGGACGGACTAATGCATGTGCAAAACATGTGCGTACCCGCAGCAACCTGTGATAAACCAAAGTTTATGTGTTCAAATCTCGGTGATTGTGGGAATTCTCCCAACCTTTCCTCTGGACCGGGAAAAATCCTGTATAGTCTAAAAGAGAATAACTTAATAAATTTTATAATAAAGTTTTATAAAAGAATAATGATAAAATATAAAAAAGTATTTATTTATGATTATAACTTTATTATATGTTATAATAATAAATAAATACATTTTTTTTTTATTCTCTCATTATTCTTAATTAATTTTTACGTGCTACAAGCATTGCCGACAATAATTTTGGTATTTAAGGTGGTTTAGAGAATTTATCATATTTAGGTTTCTTTAAAAAAATTCTTATACAAATTTCCATTAATTTTTTTAAAATATATTTTTATTGACAAATAATACATTTTGCCACTCTTAAGGGCACTAAAGCTGAGTGAGGCTAGTGTTGCCCAAATGCGAGACCGAGACGAGTCTTGCAAACGCAGTCTGCGTTATGGTCTTGGTCTTGCGCAAGAGTCTCGCAACAGTCTTGTAGCTACTTATTAGCTTATTACTATAGAGATATTACTGTAATTTTTTATGTAGGAGAAACCTAACTAAGCCCGAATGAAAAATTAGAGGAGTTAAATGCAAATGTATATTGGTTATACCAATTATTTGCAAATAGTAACTAAAATTTTCAAGTATTAGTAACTATTTTGCCTTAATTTTTATTCAAAAAATCGATTTTTTTTTTACCAGTCCTGGTCTTGGTCTTGCAACAGTTACGCGGCCTTGCTCTTGGTCTTGCAAAGTGCAAGACCAAGACCGATTTTGGGCAACACTAAGTGAGGCACATTCATACTATATATACAATACAATAAAAGTTAAAAAAAAATAATACAAATATATTTTTCATTAATTAGATTTCCTTTTTATCGGTGTTACGATCTTGAGCATTGGCTTTTGTAATATCTAGAATGAATGTATCATGAAAACAATTTGACAACATATCGTCGGTACCATGTTGAAGTAATGAATACCAGCCTGTTTAACGTTGAATATTCGTCATTTAATTTTTTTTTTATTTCGGCCTCTGCTTTCTTATTGAGTAATAATTTAATTCATTAACTGATATATAAACCTATATAGTGAAGCGATATTACACTGTTTTCAACATTCTAACATATTATTAGTACGATAATATACCAAAGCAACATCGATAATGATAAAATTTGATACAAATCACGCACCTTACTCTAAAAAAATCAAAAAAAAAAACTTTATTTATATATTTTACAAATGCACCTACCATCTACAGAGCCATTAGCATACTAAATATGCTAATAATAGTTAGTACTAAATAATTTAATATTTACGATTGATAGAAAAAAAACTATTGCATGTTTAATATCTCTAAATTTTTAACTCTTAGTTTCATTTCCTAGTTTATTATAGTTTTTGCCTTTGTTATATAGATTTTTATATTTTTTATTTTTTTATTTATTTACTTATTTATTATTATTATTATTATTATTTTTTATGTATTGTATATACGGTATGAATGTGCCTCTCTCAGCCTTAATACTCAGTGCCCTTAAGTGTGGCAAAATGTATTATTACAAAAAAAAAAAAAAAATCTCTAAATAAAATGGTCGATTTTGGATTTTTTTAAAAACTGTTACTGATTTCAGGGTCGCCAAGTATGCTGTCCACTCTGATATTAATCTAACTTTAATAAGGAAATGAATTTTAAATAAACCTAAATGTTACTTTAATTATAACCATCACTTTATGACAATTACTAAAAATTTCATATAATATGGTGGTCTATTAATATTTATTTATATCATACCGAAAATAAATTTTCAAAGTTTCTCTTGAAATTTTTTTCAATTACATTGAAAGATTCATTTTCTATTCCACGATATAAAACTATAAATTATTTTGTTCAACAAATTTGTTTTCATTTGTTTTTTTGTCACCACCGTAATATTTTATGATCTTATTGGTTAATCGATATTTTTTAAAAATGATTTAGCGTTCCTAAGGTATATATACCTAAAGAACTACTCTTAATTCTAAAATTAATTTCTAATATTTTTTCAACTTGGAAAAATATTTTCCTCTTTTAAAGTATCCGATGATTATTCACGATTGCAATACTATTCCTTATTATATGTTCCATAAATATTTAGGTAGGGAAAATTAAAAAAAAATAGGAAATCAAGGTTTTTTTTTTTTTTTTTTTTTGTCCAATTCTTTTAAAATTAAAGGGAGCGGCGTAGCTCAGTGGTAGGGTACTAAACTTCCAAGGCCCCAGATTCCTCATGGCAGAAAACTATTTATTCTGTTTCATTGGCCGTGAGGCGACCTTGGGGTAGGGAGACTCTCCTGGGGCACACCCAACCACTGTAAAGTGGATACCGTTAATTAAACAATTGATTAAGGGGGAAAACCTGGCGTTTGAGCGTGATCCTGGCCCGGTCCCCTCCTTGCACAGCCGTAGGCCTTGAAACAGTACTTTCCCGAAATAGAATTAAACCCAAGACCCTTCATGGGTTGTAGTGGTACATGTTTTCTTTTAACACTAAATAATACATTTTCTAAATAATAAATATTAAACAAAGACGGCTTTATTTCTAATATTAGTGATAATGTTTTGAGTTGCAGTAATCTGGATATTATAGTTTTATTATAGCTCTATATTTTGTTTAATCGTTAACTTTCCCTCCCATTTCCTCTTTAAGTTATATTTATTTATGAGTAGGGGAACCAGCAGAGACGATAATTAAAGACGTGGTTCACTGGAGCAAGCTGCATCGTTAAAAGCTTTAAGAGCGTTTCTAGTCATTCTGATTAAAATGAAAAATGTTGTATTTATTTTTATTTTAAGTATTTTCTACCATATATTATACGTGCACATTCTGATATAGTTTTAGAAAATTCATTCTCAACCTAAAAAATATCTTTCTTTTTTTTCTCCTTTAGTCAATTATCAAATTCTTTCATATTTTACATTAAGCATTTTTTATTACTATTAACAATGGGAGACAGTTATTTATTGAAAGTAAACTAAATTAAATGTACTTTAGAAGAAGAAGTTTCGAATATTAGACATTCGATAAGACCTGCATAATCCTTGTTTGGCGACATCAATTAGGATAAGACATAGCTGATATTAAATCCACTTAATTGATGTACCGAGTTTAATTAAAAGTGCTAAAAGAAGTTTTTGAGAAAATTATAAAAATGTACGAAGTTGATGATACAAAGTTACACATCCTACATCCACAACAAATACATCTTGTAGCGGCAAGTTTCCGGCGAGTTCGCCTTCCCGCTACCAGACAGCGCTCTACAAGCTCGCCCGTGCAACATACCAAAATTGTATCTTTTATTTCTTATTCTTGTATTATAAAATACTTAAATTGTAAATTGAAATATGCATATTCATTGTAAATATTTTTTATTAATAAAGTTTAATGACGATAGCATATACTGACCAAAGATCAAAACCAACTGTTATCGTAACGGCTCTTGGTAGCCGGTTAAGTCTTGGCGGAATACGGACCCCAGTCAAATCTCAAATTGTCAGGTCCTCGGATCTCCACCCCTTCAGGGTGTAGACCTTTATACAGACGGTCAGTATATGTCTCATATACGCTATTGGTTCACCTTAGTCTGCTCTTCTTATTTAACATCATCCTGATAACTTTTTCCTATTCTCTATCTCCTTGCAAGTTGGACGCTGATCCGTCCGCTTGCAGTCTTATATACTGATTCAAGAGATTGATTCCTCCGTCAGTATCTCATCCTCCCACAAGTCCGGAGTTTGATCCTTCCAGTTGTAGTTAATACCTTGCTGAGTGTTAAGCTTGATCTCTTACACCGCAGGTCGAGAGTGATTAGGTGCTGATCCGCCTGTCACTCGAGGACATCCATCTACACATCTTCATTCAACCACTCAATCACCTTACCCTCTATAATGAACACGCTCTGTCGAGGCCTTCTGGTAACTTGTATATACTGCCTCTGCTTTACATACCTCGACAAGTTCATTTCATTCTTCAACTCTAAATCACATCAATCCATTAGTTCTTTACATTTACTGCTCTCTGTTACCTGATCGACGCAGACTGAAAAGAAAATGGCCAAGGGACCTACTCCTACATTAACAACAAGAAAAAAATAAATAATAATCAAGCAAATTCGCAGCTAATAGCTAATACATCAGATTTGCTAAATACGCTGCAGCTTAGTTGCAAATTTCATAAAATGTTAAAATAAAAACAAATTAAATAATAATTAATAAAGTAGTTAGAGCAAATAAATAGGTTTTATTTATTTCATATGACGTAAATAATTTATAACAACGAAAATCTTTTGGTGAGAATATGTTCTAAACAATGCGTTTGCGGACATACGGACATAGTTCATTTTTGCTGTTTGTCCACTTAACCCTGAAAAACCCTATATAATAACATACCTGTATAGACAAAACATTAGACATATTAACATTAAACATATGAATACATAAAAATTTAAAACATCTTGTTAGCAATAGTTGTTTATGGCTGTTGGTATTTATAAGAATAATCCGAACTTTATAAAGTCAATTTATATGAATTGTTTCCAGGGATTGTTTAAGACCTTGAATATAAATTATTCATGACGGCAACTCCTCTGGCGTTCGTTATAATGCAATCCGATTTAAAAATCGTAATTGCTGTTTGTGTTTAAAAGATAACGCGTATAGATGGAGCAACTGAAACTGGATGGAATTCAAGAACACTTTAGAAATTCAAATAATTTCTAGAAAAGGAAGGCCTCACGTTTTACAAAAAAATTTCCATAATGAACACTTGAATGGTGCTGGAGAGGAGAGGGGGGGGGGACGCTGC